TAAGACACTCACATATGTGTAGCTACCAAAAAGGGGAACAGTTGTTTAGAAGGATACATTTCAAACTGATAAGTGCATATGCCTCCCAGGGGGCCTGAGGTCTGGGGCCAAGCCCTTCCCTGTATCTGCCTTGTTTCAATCTTTTTTTTTTTTTTTTTTAGATCTTATTTATTTATTTGACAGAGAAGCGCAAGCTGGGGGAAATGGCAGAGGGAGAGGTAGAAGCAGGCTCCCCACTGAGCAGGGAGCCTGATGCGGGGCTTGATCCCAGGCCCCTGGAATCATGACCTGAGCTGAAGGCAGATGCTTAACCAACTGAGCCACCCAGGTGCCCCTGCAATGTTTCAATCTTTCAAGAGAATCTATTCATCTATTACTTGGTAATTTTTTTAATTTGTAAAAGCAAATGCAATCACTAACAAAATTAACATAGAGTGCAGGGGTTCTCAAACTTTAGGGTTTGGGGTTTTTTTTCAAGAACCACCTGGGGATTGTTAAAACTGAGGCTGTCCAGGTCTCACAGACTTAATTGACCAAAATCTCTGGGTGGACAGGAATAAATAAGGTCGGACCATTTGTATTTTAACAAGCTCAAGTGATTCTGTGACTTGATTATTGCTTCTTACACTATGTTGTTATTAATGTTAACTCCTATCACAAATACATAGTAGGAACACCATGTATACCCACTTACTATATGTCAGTCTTCACTCTCAGCACTTGACAAATACTATCTCATTTAATCCTTACAACCCGGTAAGTAGGTACTACTGTTAACACTGCCCTCCCCTCGCTCTTGTTTTATAGATGAAATTATTAAATAGGAAGAGATGATTTAACAGGCCCATGGCACAAAGTCACAGGGCTAGTAAGTGGCAGAGCCAGAATGTGCAACAAAGTTTGAAAACTCCTGATACAGTTTCTTAACCTAAGACAACAGCTGTATACTCTGGTCAGGTCACAGCAAATTCTGTTTCATTTCAGCCATTGCATTTGCCTAAAGAAGGCAGCATGGGGAAATCTGATTAAACCATGAGGGGAGGGAGCACCTGGCTGGCTCAGTAGGTAGAGCATGGGACTTCTGACCTAGCGGTTGTAGGTTTGAGCCCCATGTTGGGTGTAGGAATTACTTTAAAAAAATAAAATCTTGGGGCGACTAGATGGCACAGTCGGTTAAGCATCTAACTCTTGGTTTCAGCTCCGTCTTGATCTCAGGGTAATGAGATGGAGCCCCACAGACTTTGCACTCAGCACGGAACTGGCTTGAGATTCTCTCTCCCTCTGCCCCTCCCCCCTGCAAGTCCAAGCTTGCGCACTTTTGCTGGCTCTCTCTCTAAAATAAATAAATCTTTTTTAAAAAATAAAATCTTTTTAAAAATTTTTTAAAAACCATGAGGAGACAAAGGATCTAGGCTGTTTACATACTTCCAACATAACTGGCCTCACTTTGTATCATTCTGGCCCTCTATTAGACTGAGCCCTGGAAATGTGGGGAATATACAGTCTTTTCAACAGTACCCTCATGGTACAGGGGGTATCTAACTAAAAAAAGGGTTTAATAAATTAATTCATCAATAAATCTACAGAAGGCTTGAGGGCTGAGGAAATGAAAGCTATTATGTGGAGAAGAAACAGACTTGATTCATGTTGCTTCAAGGGGTATAGCAAAGAACAGGTAACAAGGGAGTGGCAGATTTTGATACAGTCTAAACTAGCTTTCTAGCAACCAAGACCTGTCCAGTAACAGAGAAGCACATCTGCAATGTGAGGCTGATGATCAGAACAGAGTAGACAAAACGTAGGAAAGTGGTCTATGGAGCCTCTAAGAGCTCTTCCAAAGTTCAAAGTCTTCTATTCTAAGTTATGATACATTTGTTCATTATTTCACATCTCACACATTTACCGTGACTAGTTACACAAGTTCCTAGTTACACAACTCCTGGTAGTAAATACAGAGGATACCATCGTGTTGTACAAACCCCCAGAGCCCTCAAGGATCTGGAGAAGAATAAAAGCACAGGAATCAATCTTCCAGGGAGGAAGGTAATGGATACAAAAGGAATCAGCAAGGAATGAGGAGATTTCCAGGCAGGAAACAAGAGGGAAGTCAACACAGGCATTATGAAAGAAAGGCCATCATTTGAGCCATATCTTTAGGGATCCATGCGGGGAGGTGGGTTGGGGCTGCCATAAGAATCTGGGGAAGAAAAGCCTGCAGTATGGCAGTACTGGTCTGAGCATAAAGGAGACAGGCAAGCCCTGGGGTGATGAAGACCCACCAGAAATAACCACTAAACTCTGGGGCTTAAAAAGAGAAGGCCTTTGGAGGTCATTTAGTCAAACACACACGTTATAGAGGGTGCTTGCCCTGGGTAAAGAAAGGTTCGTTTACTTTCTTAAATTACATTTTACAAACCAAAAACTCTATCATCAACGACTTGTCCTTTGCTTAGTTTTGCGTCTTTTTTTTTTAAGACTAATAGATCCTTCTCTTATTTTCTAGGAAAACTTTTAGATGATTCCATTTTTCTTGCAGTTTTCAAAACTGGCAGTTTTAATAACTCAGTTCTTAGCCTAATATTATAATCACTTAAGTGGTTATAACATTTACCAATAATACTAAATTAAAAGTATTATCTAAAAATGATGATTTTACAAATAGAAGACTGTTAAGAAGAAATTGAGTCTCAGGCGCCTGGGTGGCTCAGTCATTAAGCGTCTGCCTTCGGCTCAGGTCACGATCCCAGAGTCCTGGGATCGAGTCCCACATCCGGCTCCCTGCTCAGCGGGAAACCTGCTTCTCCCTCTCCCACTCCCCCTGCTTGTGTTCCTGCTCTCGCTGTCTCTCTGTCAAATAAATAAAATCTTTTTTTAAAAAAATTAAAAAAAAAAGAAATGAAGTCTCAAAAATAAATTTAGGTCTCAGATCCAAGAAACTATCTCTTACTCAACTTATAAATTGTGAAACTGAGCCACCCAAGAAAGTAGAATTAACTACTGAAGCAAAAACAAACTAAATCCAAAACCAATGGACAAAATGTAATACATATGAACAATAAACTTAATGTTCTTTGGCCAATCATTTCTCAGCGTCCCTGTCAAACTATTTTAAGGATCTGAACTCTTGCTCTATAAAAAGTAAGTTCCCATCATCCGAACTACACTTAAGAGATTCTATCGCAGTGGTTACTGAAGCGTAACACCAAGCTTCAGTTTTTTCCTTCCTTTTAGTACAAAAAATGCTTACCTCTTTTAGATAAAGCTGAGTCTGTGGCCCAAATCCTGACATACCAGGAGATCTAGGTTTTCAATTCCAACACTAATTTAAGGTGTCAGGTTAGCAAAGGCCTTTTCTGTATTTACCACTTAGCTTAGATTGTAACATGGAGATACAATATTTGACATCCCCACCACCAATGGTCACTTCAAAGGATTTCTAACTTTGGTAAACCTTAGTCGGGGGAATATAAAGTTAGGGCTGAAAACTCAGTAAAAAAAAAAAAAATCGAAACTTTAAAAATCTGAAATAGTGCTGCTGCATGTTAGCTGACAAACTATGAACTGCAGAAACAGATCTGAGTAACAATTGCTAAGAAAGGTGCAGTTACAAGATTTTACCAAAATGAATAAGCAAACAGCTCACGAAAATTTAAATCTTTCTTAGCAAATGGAGAAGATAAATGATATTCACTAACTCTGGGACATTGTGGTTTTTTGTTTTTATCTATAAGGTCTCTGCATCAATGTTACTATTCTTTCACTCCCTTTATGAGCAAAAGGAGCCCACTGTCCAGGATCCCTCATACCAAAGCTCAGTAAATATCACAAATAATAATAGTAATAAAAGCAACAATCTTTAAAGCTAGAATTTATACGGGACTGTGGCACCAGAATAGGATGCAAGGCACATGGCAGCCTGCAACTATTTCTCCCTTCTGACTCTTCTGCATCACTGCCTCCCAAAGGACTACAGAATCCGAAGCTCTCACTGCCACATCTACAAATTAAAAAGTATCATGATTAAAGAACTCACAGGTTCTACGAACGGTCAGTATTGAATGAACGAACACCACAATAAATAAATTCATCCGGATGCAACAAAACATGCTTCAAAAGGCTCCACCTAATTTTTTTAAATCTTAGAAATAAACACAACTATTTTAATAACATTATGTAATAAGTTAGACTCTGGAAAACCCCATACTCATCCGAGCGGCTCGGAAAATGGAAAGCAAAATTCGATTAGCTCCATTGTACCCAACCAGGCTAACGTGCAAGATCACACACTCATCTTCGTCAGAGCGGCTCTGCCAATACCAAAGAACAACAAAGGCAAGTTGAGGCGGCTGCACAAGGCTTAACTCAGCACTTGTCCTCTTTCCCAGCTTTGGAAAGAAGCTCTCAGCGGGCCCCAGGGACCAAGGGACCCTCTGCATCCCGCCCGGCCCCCAGCTCAGCTCGGCGACGCTCGCTCAGCTTTTGTCTGGCCCGGCTGGGAGCCCCGGCCGCCCGCCTCCCCGGCACCCCTTCCCTCTGGATCTTTCTCCACACCCATCACTCGCCGATGACTAGTTGTTGTGGGTTTCTCTCCCTCGCCCCCTCCCCTCGCAATCCCGGGCTCTTTTCAAACGCGACTGGGCTGTTCGCTGGCTTCTCCCACTCGGCCGGGAAGACTCGGGTCAGGAAGGGGGCCCGGGTGCGGTCCGGGAGAGGAAAAGAAAGAGGGGCACACAAAGCCCGGCTGACCCCACAGCCGCCCCCTCCTCCCTTTGCAAAGCAGCCTGGGATCAGCGACCTACCGGGTGGATAAACAACCCTCCCATCCTGCTCCCCGCCCGGCTCCCACCTAAGGGCCGCCCCCTCCCCCCAAAGTGTACCCAAGAGCCGATGACAGCGCTGGACATCGCCCCCACCCAGACCCAGCGCCCGCCACCGCAGGGGAGGGGGCAAAGGCCTCGGAGGTCTGGGTCTAAATCTCCTCGCCCTAACCGGGTACTTACAGTCGTATTATTCGCTACTGTTGCCGCTGCGGACCAGACAGCCGCCGCCTTCTCCTCCACCCCAATGAGGTTAAGCGCTTGGTGCGGGGATTAAAAAAAAAAAAAAAAAAAAATAGAAGCCGAGAGCGCCTGCGCAGTGCAGTCTCCCTTTTACCGCCACGGACCCGGCTCGACCATAGAGAGGGCAAACCGAGACCAGAGAGGCGGCTGCTCTCTATGGTAACGCCCCGCGCAGGCGCCGGCCTGGCTGCGCTGGGCTTTGGGAGCTGCAAATGCCGGGAGTTTCTGCCCCCTCCGAGAACGTTAATTGACCCCGATGGGGACCCGTAGGGTAAAGGTTCTTTAAGGGAAGGGTGGCCAGGGTTCTGCTGGGGTCCCTGGGAAGTTGCGGCAAAACTCAGGCTAGGCCATGAGGGTGGATGTAAGGGCCCGCGGCGACACAGCACCACAATGCAGGCAGTGCAGTGAATAGAGCTAAGGGGGAGTCAGGAAAGCCTGGATAAAAGTCCGGCCGGGACTTCCTGTGGTCGGGGTCTAATACCTGAAGGAAACGGACTTTCACTTCTGGGTTACGCGCGTCCCGCCCCCACCATCGGGCGACTAGGTTGAAGGAAACTGTGCCCTGCGACTTTCCGTACCCGGGCTTGCGTCTATTCTCTCTTCCCTTCTCAATTAGGCGCCGACACTTGAGCCGGAAGCACGAATTTTTAACGGTTCTTCGCTCTTCTGGGAGCGCAGTCGGCCCCGTTGAGGCCTCGGAGACTTTTGAAACGGCCAGCCACAACCCCTTTCTTACTTGAGCGCCTCCGCAAGTAACGCGGCTTCTGTCTTCCCTCTCGCATTACTTTCGGATGACACGTGAGAACGTGTTTCAGAGGGTAGAAAGCTGTGCAAATTATTGGGCTGCCTTTAAGGATTCCCCAAGGACCCGCAGTTTTGCAGCGTCAAACCCTTATGTTCGGAGGTAATTTGACACTGAGAGCTTTTGTGTGAAATTATACACTGCGTCGACGAAATCACTCTTTGGGAGTGTGAGTTGACTTCCCTCCATCTCGATGCCCAACGAATTGAGTTTTCACTGGGAGCTCTTGAATGCCGAGTTCCGTGGTGGTGGAGTGAGTGTGTTTGTGTTAGAAGAGGGGTGCGGGAGAATGGTGAGAAAATGCCCCTGATACTCAGGAGCTTGGATGTTACGGTAGGAGAGACGAAGGTAAAACGGTAAAGCCATGTGTTTGCTCCTCTCTGCAGTGCAGGACAGGGAAAGGACTCCAGTCTGAAGGTGTAGGCATGTCATGGAGGATGTGACTTTTGGTTGGATCTAGAAAAGGTAAACCTATCTTCGGGGCGAAAGCACAGACAACCTTTTGAAAATGGAACCTTTTTTGATGGGTGATGATGAAAGCATTCCAGAGAAGAAACTCCTTGGGGCAAAGGCTGAAAAGGAAGTGCTTTGCTGGGAGTACAATGTAGAGAGCAGTAACTTGAAAAAGGGGTGGGGGGTGTGGAATACAGGGGAAGAGTAAGGTTTGAAAACTAGGATGGGGAATTTGTTTTTTAACTTTAAATTATGGTAGCATACACATAACACAAAATTTGCCACTTTAACCACTCTTAACTACATAGGTCAGTAGAGTTAAGTACATTTACATTGCTGGGCAACCATCTCCAGAACTCTTTTCCATGTTTTTTTTTTTTTAAGATTGTATTTATTTATTTGTCAGAAATTTATTCATTTGTCAGAGAGAGATCGAGCACGAGCAGGGAGAGCAGAAGGAGAAGCAGGCTCCTGGCTGAGCAGGGAACCCGATGTGGGGGCTCAATCCCAGGACCACGACCCTAGCTGAAGGCAGACATTTAACCTACTGAGTCACCCAGGTATCCCCTCTTTTCATCTTCTAAAACAGCAACTCTATACCTATTAAACAACTCATTCCCCACTCCCCCAAGTCCTGGCAACCACCATTTTACTTATGTCACTGAATTGGACAACTCAGATATCTCATACAAGTGGAATCATACAGTGTTTGTCTCTTTGTAACGGGCTTACATCATTCAGCATAAGGTCCTGGAGGATCTTCAATGTTGCAGCATGTGTCAGAATTTCTTACTTTTTAAGGCTGAATTATATTCTATTGTGTTTGTATACCATAATAGATACTTGGGTTAATTACACCTTTTGACTAGGGTGAATAATGCTGCTATGAACATGGGTGTACAGATATCTCTGAGACTCTGCTTTCAGTAGGATGGGGAAGACTTAGAAACCAAGTAGAGAAAGCCGAATTGTTTCAGGTCCTGGACTGGGGATAGTAATACGGTAAAAGAACTGTTTTAGGAAGTGACCCTGGCAGTAGAAGCTCAATACATACTCCATTTTTACAGAGAATTTATGGAGGCTCTAAGATATCCCAGGCATTGTACTACTGTTTTATGTAAAGTATTGATACGTCATTGAATCCATCAAAATAAACATGAGTCCATTGTTATTCACCACAGTTACCAGTGAGAAAATCAAGGTTCTGGGTTACTGATGGGCTGTGGGAAGACTCACCAACCACACATACACACAAATGATTAGGAAACAAAACTCCCATGTGATCTGGACATGCATGGGCACTGACTACTCACTGACTTGGACAAGGATATTGAAAGAAAACAATTTAGATGTTAAGAGTGAGTCTTCAGGGACGCCTGAGTGGCTCAGTCAGTTAAGCGTCTGCCTTTGGCTAAGGTCATGATCCCAAGGTGCTGGGATCAAGCCCCTGTGTTGGGCTCCCTACTCAGCAGAGTGTCTGCTTCTGCCCCTCTACCTCCCCTGCTTGTGCTCTCTCGCTCTCGCTCTCAAATAAATAAATAAAATCTTAAAAAAAAGAGTGAGTATTCCCAGGAGAAAGAATAGGCTGACATCAAGAACTTTCACAATCAAATTACTAGTATTATAAGGGCTTAACACAGCAAAACTGCATGGCCTAGGGTCCCTAAAAGAACTCTGAGGTTTGATTCCAGGTACGTTCATTGCTCTCAAATAAATAAAATCTTAAAATAAAATAGGGGCGCCTGGGTGGCTCGTTAAGCGTCTGCCTTCAGCTCAGGTCATGATCCCAGGGTGCTGAGATTGAGCCCCACGTTGGGCTCCCTGCTTCACGGGAAGCCTGCTTCTCCCTCTCCCGTTCCCCCTGCTTGTGTTCCCTCTCTTACTGTGTCTCTCTCTGTCAAATAAAATCTTAAAAATAAAAAATAAAACGCCAGGTATGTATATTTTTGTATGTACTAGAGAAAATAAAACACATCATTTCCTACTCAACCTTTCATGTTTCATTTTACATTCTCAAAAGCCCTATCGGATCATTCAAAGCAATGATCCATTTGGCAGGGGAGAAAATAAATGGCCAGAAAGGAAAACTAATTTGCCCAATGTCACATGGCTTATTGATACCAAGGCTGCAATTGAAAACAACTTCTAGAATTCCCATTCTCTGCTTTGGTCTCCTTTATGAAGATAGATATCATAGTCTTGAGCGAGTGGACAGTGTTTCCATTCAGTCAGTCTCATCTTCCTCAGGGATGCATGCCCAAATGCTTATGAAGCTAGCACCAGTAAACAGTGAAGCAGAGAATATAAGTGCATTTTAAGTAGCATTCATACACTTAGAAATATTGTGTACCAACTATGTGCCAAACACTTGGGGGTGGGGAATCCATGTTCTCATAGGAGATAGAAAATAAAATAGTAAATAAAATATAAACTGTGTCAGGATAAATGTTACAGGGGAAAAAAATGAAGCAGTGAGGGAGAAATAAGGAGTGCTGAGGATAGGGAAAGAAGTTTCTTTTTAAATAGGACTGGTGGGGTGGGGGCCTCTGAGAAACATACGTTAAGTACGCATCTGAAGGAGGTGAGGGAGCAAGAAATGTCCTTGGGAGAAGAACCTTCCAGGTAGAAAGAATGGCTAGTGCAGAAATCATTCTGAGGGAAGAGGATGTCTACACTACATTCTAAGCACAGAAAGGAGGCCAGAGTGACAGAAGCAGAGTGTGGCAGGCAGAAAGTAGGAAATGAGGTCAGAGGGGACAGGATGCCAAATTACATGGGGATTTACAGGGCATTGTAAGAATGTTGGCTTTTACTGAGAGGGGAAGCCATTGGAAGGTTTTGAGCAGAGAAATAAAATGATTTGACTTCTATTTTTAAAGAATCACTTTAGCTTCTGTTTTGAGAATAGATTGTTGGGGAGTAAGGGAGTTTTGAGAATAGATTGTTGGGGAGCGAGAGGGACGGTTTAGGAGGCTATTAATTCTGCAAGTGAGACAGTGGTGGCTTGGGAAAAGTGCAAGCAGTGGAGTGATGAGATGTCTTGGATATATTCAGCCAGGATGGCACATGGGATATGATAAATTGATGCAGGGTGTAAGCAAAAGGGGAGTTAAGGGGACTCCCAGTATTTTTGACTGAGCAGTTTAAAGAATGGAGTTGCCATCTACTGAAGTGGCAAAGACCGGGAGGAGCAGGATGGGAATGGGAAGCAATAAGAAATTCAGTTTTGGAGATGTTAAGTTTGAAATGTCTTTTAAGGGGTGCCTGATGGCTCAGTTAGTTAAGCGTCTGACTCTTGAGCTCAGCTCAAGATCTCAGGGCCGTGACGGGCGCCTGGGTGGCTCAGATGGTTAAGCGTCTGCCTTCAGCTCAGGTCATGATCCCAGGGT